AGACATGTATTATCGACATCCAGACTTGTTCATCAAGCAGTCGATAGTCGACCGATACGTGGATGACTTGGCTTGTACCTTCGGCATCACTAGATTACAATTGAACGTGGTGCGCTTGTCTCGGTCGTCTCTCTGGAAGCACAGCTGATAGCCAATTTCAGACTGCCGCCGCGAAAGGCCTGCTGGCGGGCGGCTTTAGGTTGACTCGAAACGATGGTCATTATATCAATGGCATGAGCGAGAAAGAGGTTTGAGGAGCGTGCTGGCTCAGTGATGCCTTCCTAACACATCACCAGGGGATACTCGTTCCCAGTGTCAACGATAACGACAATCTCGACTTGACACGCGTGCAATGGGTTCTCATTATCGAAAAGGAGGTATGGTCGATGCTTTGGGATCACTTATGTTACCGCTAATGCATACCTAGGCGACCTTTAGGTCATTGATGAGTTCACCACGGTGGCACACGTTGGGCTCGAGCGGAACAATACTGACTGTAAGCCTGACTGTGTCTGTTGCCAATGTCACCTAACGACCAAGACAGGCGAAAGGATATCCAGACCTCGCTTCACGGAAATTTCTAAGTCAATTAGCTGCTAAGGCCCCTCACATTCCCATGTATGCTCTGATGGACCTTGATCCTGACGGTATCGCCATACTATCGACGTACAAATATGGGTCTTATCGTCTTGCGCACGAAGACGTTACATCCACGGATACAGCCACACCAGGCTTGCCTAACATCCGCTGGCTCGGTGTAAAGAGTCACCACATGAGCGGGACTCCGTTAGGCGAAGTGCACACAGAGACGAGCACGAAACCTCAACTTCAAGGCCTGATGAGACTGACGGCGCGCGACCGCAACAAAGCAGCGCGAATGTTGGAGTGGAACTTGTGCGCCGAGGGGGGTCCCGAGAAGGGCTGGAGGCAGGAGCTACAGAAGATGCTGATGCTCAACGTCAAGGCTGAAATACAAATACTTGACGAAATGCCAGGTGGATTGGTGTCTTGGTTGAGCGACAGGCTCGGGCAGACAACGGAATTGGTGCGCGCGCAGCGGATAGAAGGCGAAAAGCCAGACGACGGGATGCTCTTTTGAGATCTGGAGTACCGCTGGGAGGCAGATGCGCTTCCATGCGCAGGGTCCACATGTGTTACCATGTAGTCGTGCAAGACAGACAGATGTCGAGCGGCATGGATATCTAGGTTGTCGTCGGAGAGATCTTAGGGTGTCAAGCCAGTGAGACGCCTCTTAGGCGCAACAAGAAAATCCCCAGTCTTGCACGTTTGCAATTGGGCGTCGGATCCCAAGTGGCATGCAACTCGTTCAATATGTCGGAATTTGTGTAGGGTGAAGCGGCAATGGCCCAATGATGGAAGGCGGGTGGGACGAAATAACCCGCCAAGCTTGGCGCCAGCGCATCTTCTCGATCACGGCAGCTCACCCAACAACTCAGACGGCGTCGCATAGCGGCAATGCATTGACCTGCAGCTACGGAACCAGAACCCACAACAATGGCCGGCATGTCTAATGATCCGCGCGTTCCCTTCCAGGCGCCACGGCTCCCGCACAGCGCTGCCCCTCCGACCGACTGTGAGCAACATGGCTCAGGTACCGCCGAGTCGAGTGCAATCCCACACCCACTGACGCCTGCAACGCCTGCAACGACCACCAGACAGTCGGTACCATTGGGCGTCTTCTCGACCCTCTTGGGGAACAACACCACGTCCACCCTTAGTGCCCAGCCTATACTGTCCGACGAGCCCGTCCTCGCCCACACGCAACCACTAGATGCCCCCGAGGGCCTGTCTGACTTGACGGCGAGCTCAGGCTCGGTGCCCAGTGCGACTACCACCTTGACCAACACACTGCCGCCGACCCAGTCTGCTGCACTGCGCGCCCTGAACGCCCCCGCCTTCCATTCCTCGCCCTCCAAGAGCAAGTCTGCAAAGTCTACATCCAGTCGGACCACCGTCACCAGCCAGCCCGTCGTAGTACGCACATACTCAGGCTCGCGGCACGCATCGCGCTCTGGCTCCGGCTTCAACACGCCACGCTCCTTCGCCATGAACGGGCAGACACATGCGTCGGCCCTGTCCGCCGGTCTGGCAGGCAGGAGCGAGCAGCTACCCTCCGCTGACGACTTCTCTTTTTCGGCAATCCTTCGCGCGGTTGACCCCGAAATCAGAGACGCCATCGATGCCATTGCCGAGATCTGCGCCCGAAGCAGAATGAGTCTAGCCGACGAGTACGACTCTCACCTACCCCCACAGGGCGAAATAACAAGCGGGGGGTCGGGGTGGGCTGCAAGTACAGGAGCATTGGCCAGCCGAGGTCGTTTGAATAGGATCAGTCAAGGATGGACTGCCGCAGACAACACCCTCATGGCAGTGCCTGAAGCGAGCAGCTCCAGCGAGCGGCTGGCGCAAGAGGGTAGGGCCGAGAGCAGTAAGAAGCGTAGTCAATCAGCATACGGAAGCTTGAAGAGCGTCATCAGTGGTGGGAGTGGTAAGAGGAAAGCCATAGATGGCGATACTTTCCGAGACCAAGAGGCTGGCAGCTCGAAACAGGTCGAAGCCCAAAACCCAGGGCCCGCTTGGGCAGTCCATGCGTCCACCTCGTCTTCACATCCAGCAATCACCATTGCCGCGCCTACAGCTTCGAAACAGCTATCACTCGATACATCGTCGGCAATGCAGGACGTTGGCAAGGACGCCAATGGATCATCCAACGGACGGCCTCAGACTGCAACACCACGCAGAATTCCCTCACACCAACGCGGAGCGTCTATGCGCAGTCTTCCGGCATCACGAGCACGTTCTGGTACCCTTGACTCTATAAAGGCGTGGCTACCATGGCCCCGGCCGTCAGATCTCGACCAGAACAGTCGGCAGGAGCTGACAAAAGCCGAGGACCGTCTCAGAAGCATGCTGATATCATCGTCCCAAACCCTCGGGAAAGGTAAAGCAACAGTGCGAGTCATTTAGAGTCGCATCGGTTCGCATCTCCAAAGCGTTGAATACACCCTTTGAAATTGTTTGTTACATATCGCAGATACCCAGAGAGACGCTGAAAGTGTACGAAAAGTGGAGTGGCGGATGCTTGTGCTTTGCGTAGGACTCTTGCTCCGAAAGACGCAACGATGAACATGAATAACGTTTTATGATAATGACTAACGACAATAAGTAGATAGCTCGATGCAATAGTATAGAATAATTCACGCCTACTTGCAGCCTTTGACGGCCTATCGTGGCTACCTCTTTTGGATTGGATAACCTAGGAGCTTCAACTCAACTAGCCTGTTCAAGTAACAAGTGTGCATCAAAACGTGGGGTAGCTGCTTAGCTCACTTCCATCTCCGCTCTCGTTGACGGTATCGAACATCATGAAGTAGACATCACGACCGCAACCTTCTTCAAACTTGAGACCGGCACAACACAATGACACCCAAAACAAGAGAGACGCGAGTCGACAGCTTCATTGACCCAACACTCCTCCCATCACTACACAAGCCACTCACTCTCTCCGACCTGTGCGATGACGTCTTACTACTCATATGCGACTTCCTGGACCACCATCACCAGCAACACGGCGAGACTCCATGGAAACAACTCTCCCTAGCCAATCGCCGTCTCCACGCCCTCCTCGTTCCACGACTGTTCAAAACCATACGCATCACTGCGCCCCTCAAATCCCTAGACACAGACGTCTTAACACCACACTTGCACCAAGCTCGCGCGCTCAAAATCGACATGTTTGGCAGTCTATGGTGGTGGTGCTCTGGCGCCTACGTGACCGGTAGCGACGCTCTCGATCTGTTCACCTTTATGCATTCGTTACCGCGGCTAAAGCGGCTGGAAGTGAGGATGATGAGCCGGAGTCTGGATGTCTTCTCCGCTGCGTTCACCGACTCTTCACTTCCATCCCGGTTCCCTGGGTTTGAGTTGAGGGGTGTGGAGACGTTGGTTGTGAATAGCAGCGCCGCGTTTCTGGTGCAGCATTGTCCCAATCTGCAGACGTTGGCGGTGAAGGGGAAGGGCGATGGTGAGGATTGTGCGATGGAGAAGTATACCGATTTGAAGACTTTGTTCGAGATGATTCCGCGGTCTAGCCTGAGAAAAGAAGAAGACGATCCATATTTCCAGTATGCTGTGGGACTACGAAGTTTTGATGGAAGCGCGGCATGGTCTCTGGCCGAAATTACCTTTCTCACGACGACGTTTCCATATATTCGTCACCTTGCCTTGCGCAGCGAGTCGTACTGCTATCGATCCGATGTTGCGTCCATTATGCGCACTCTGGGCCAAGGCTTGAAACAACTCAAGAAGCTGCAAGTCAGCAAGATCGAATATCTTGATATGGGGTATCGGGCGGTGTGGAAACGAGCAGTCATGGAATGTAAGACGGAAGAAGCAAGACAGGCGTTGTGGAAAGGAAACGAGAGAAGGAGAGTTGCAGCTGAAAACAACGTTGCGAGATTAGCATTTGGTGAGGTGGAAGCACTGGAGGAGTTATGGGTGGGTGAAAAGAGGGTTGCGAGACGATATGGTGGGAGCGGGGTGTCTTGGATATGGGAGCGTAAACCGGATGACACGGTGGATGCCGCGCTGATAGGGATGAAGTGGGCGGAATATCGTAAAGAAAGGGAGGCCGTAGTTGTGTCAAGGGAGATCGGGACGTAACGGAGAAGGTGAGAAGTTGGGTAACTGCAGGTACATTTGCATCTATAGCAATTCGTTCAGTCAAGAACAGATAATCAATCCCATAGAGATAGCGTCTAATGAATAACGTACATCATACCGAAGGGGGAGCACAGGTTGCCCGATGAATGCTAACTAGAGCCCACATACCCAAGAATAAGCCATGCTGTGAGTCCTCAGATGGGCCTCTGACGCCAAAGTTGATGCAACAGAACACAAAACTAACCATCGTACAGGACATCACACGCAAACCACACGTGAACCCTTACATGCAAATTACACCAGGTGAGCGGCCCATTCTACCTTGCATAACCGTTACTGCTACTCGATGGCATTGGTGACGCGGAAGCTGGTTTCCAGATCCTGATTCGTTTGTCATCGCCAGCAGAAGCGAATGTAGTAGGATCCTTGGGGTGCCAGGCTACGCTATTGGCGCAGCCGTTGGAGTGTGCGTCGAGAGCTTCGATAAGGAGGCCATTGGAGCGCCATATGTATATTCGTGAATCTGAAAGCGTGTGTTAGCAAATGATCTTGCATGAAAAGACAAGACAAACATACCCTCGCTGCCGCTGACTACAAAGTTCTCATCGGCGCCGCCAAACGCTGATCGAATCATGAACTGCTTTTGAGCATGTGCCTCGAAGCGTTGTATTACATCCCCAGTGTCGATTTCCATGAGCTTGATCTGATCCGGGCTTATGCTAACGAGCATATGCCGTGAATCCTGGCTGATCGTAACACTCGTCAACTTTGTACCATCAAGCTGAAACTCGGCAATCCTCTCATAAGTGGCATAATCAAACACGACAATCGCGCTCTCTGTAATGACGACTAATCGCTGGCCATCGGACGACAATGCGAGGCCGTTTACACGGAGCTTCCCATCATCGGCGAAGTTGTGCTTGAGGTTCCCGTCGAGGTCCCAAACACTACAGCCCATGTTGTCGTCCTGTGATCCAAGAATAATCCGTGTACCGGACGGATCCCAAGCCGCCGTGGTACATGGGTAGGTGAAGTCGTTGATACATTGTATGCATACACCGGTCTGCTAGTTTTAGTCGGAGCTATCAGAGCAATCTTGCCGCCTTACCTTGACATCCCATATCCGTGCCGAGTTCTCTGGTTGCGAGCAACATGTTATTATCTTTGTGTCATCAGGGCTCCAAGCAAGATGAGCGACGCCAGATTTCCTGTGTTCTGCGAGTCGATGTAACACCTTGTATGTGTTGGTTTCGTAGATGATGATTGTCTGGTCCTCGCCTGCAGATGCAAGTTTTGTGCCGTCGTTTGAGTACTGCAAGTACCAAACCTCACCCGTGTGGTGTTTCAAATCAAGAACAGCCTTTGTTGGGAAGTCATCCCTTTCGCAGTTGTGGTCGAGATAGAGAGACGGTGACGCGGCAGTGTTGTGGTATAGGCAATTTGCGATCCAGCTATCTTTTACTTCATCTAGCAGTACTGCTAACCTGTGTTCCGGGATCATAATGCTCGGCGAAATTGATTCTACAGGATGTCAGTATGAATCGCCATAGTCTGGGACTTGGTGCTTACTGGAAAGATCAGAAAGCAGATGCATCCGTGAGTCACCGCGAGCGCCGTCCCATTGAGCTTGATTTCTGAGGTCTTCGGCAGATTGGCACATCATAAGCCTACGAAGCGTTAGCTGGATAACGTCTGATGGCAGGATGATACTTACGCCGAAAGCGCGTGTAACCTTCCCACATCGCGATGAAGCGGCGTCAACTCTTGCCGAAGTACCGCAAGTGCCTTGCTCAGATCTCTCCGTTCAAGCAACTCGAGGTACTTTTGCTGCTTCAGACAGAATAGCATCACCTCGCGGTTTGCGCCCTCGGCTAGAGTCAAGCCTGTAGAACGCTGCGAGCTGGGCTGAGATGTCGACTTTCCCCAGGGCCTTCCGTAGGGAGCGTCTAGACCAACACCACCACCGGTGTGGTGTGTATTTGACCCAAACAGCAGCTCTTCGGCTTCCTCCCAATCACCGTTCAGTACCGAAGTTCGGAATGCCGCAACTGTGGGCCCTTCGAGCTGGAAGCCGCTCTCCTTGCATAGTGCGCCCGCAGCACTGTGGTAGCCCAAGTCGGTCAGACTCTGTATCAGTATCCGCGTCACTTCTTCCCTGTCATGGCCAAAGAAAGTTGCAGGCACTGATCCCCCGTTCGCTACCGGTCCTCCATTCGTATAGGAGCCATTGCTCTCGTTTCTCCCGTGCGTGCTTCCATTCGCGCCCTTGGCCAGGGGCGACCTGTGCCCCGACGACTGTGACGATCCGTTTGCGAAGTTGCGCGAGGGCGATTGTGAGGATTTGGAGGTGTCGTTATCAAGGCGCATCTTCCCTTCCTGTCTGCGCCTGCGCTTCGAGATGTGGCGGGATAAGCTGCCCCGGGTGCCGCTGGTGAGGGGCTCGTCTTCGGCGTCGTCGCTCGCAGAGAAGCTGTGCCTGCGCTTTCCGGCTGTAGTCTGGTCGGATGACAGGATAGCGGCAGCGGGTGCGTGGTTGGAGGCTCGGGCGGCGGGTGCGGGCTGGTTGGAGGGGGCAGAGATGACTGGGGAAGAAGAAGCGGGGGACGTCGGGGTGGATGGGTGGTCGGAGGCGGCTGGGGAGGGAGGGTTTGGGGCGATTTCGTCTGCCAGGACGAACGCTGGGTCTGGTTACCCGCAGATGACGCGGGTATGGGTTGGTGGCAGCGCCGTGCCTGGAGGGGTGCTGGCTTGGGGATTAGGGAGAGAGCATAGGCAGCGTCGAGGCGAGGCGCTGTGCTGGAGTGCGCGTGGAGTCGGCGTAGACGGTGGAGAGGTGGGCAAGCTTGCGGAGGTGCGCTCGGAGGTTTGGAGCAGCTGGCGATGTCACGAGCCGAGCAATGACGATGCCGTCGTCGGGGCCGGGCACCTTTGATGCTATCACAAACGCTCGAGCTGCGCCAAACAGTGGAAGTCCGATAGTCGTCGTGTGCACGCCGTGGGAGCTTCTAGTGGTCGTCTTGGTGGTTGTTGGCAGTTTGAGGTCCGTAGCTGGGGACCTAGGTGCAACCGGATGCGTTAAGCTCATGTGCCAAGTGGCAGCCACGATGTGCGAGAGATGGCCCAAAGCGGCGCAAGTATTACACCACAGGAAGCATTCAAGGTAGAAATGTGCACTCTCTGAGTCATTCAGTCAGTTCAAACGGCATCGTCACAACATGTTGCGTGGAATGGTCCCAGGCAGGCATGCGCACCAAGATGCTCGGGTGGATCCGCATTGTCACAAGGGACCTAATCGCGCGATAAGAAAGGGAGCTAACGCCCGCACCATGGCCGGCACGACTCACAAGGACGCCCAAGTGCTCGTCTTTGCTGCATTCGCGTCGACTGTGGCCGTCGACGCGTCATGCCTCGCTCCAGGCTGCCTTCCGGCCATTACAGACAAGGGCAACACGTCATGTGGAACAGGGTACGCGCTGTCATGCGGATCCATCACCAACATCACCCATCAACTAGCATCAGACATCCTTCAAACAACCGCAAAGTCTTCAAATCTAACATGATCTACATGATCATAATTCTGATTCCAACTTCACAGTAGCACTGTTACTACCCTATACCTCTTCTACATCCTCATTGTCGCGTTCCCGCTCGCTTCATGCTCCTTGAACCAGTTGAGGAACTGGAACAAACTCGCCTTGGGTGTCCTCTCAAGACTCGTGTAGTTCACGTACTGCACTCCGAACCTGACCGACGTACCAAGCGCCCACTCGAAGTTGTCTAGAATGGACCACCCCCATGCTCCAGTCACGTTGACGCCATCCACATGAATCGCCAGCAAAATGTTGTCTAGATATTGCTGGAAGTAGTCCGCTCTCTTCAAGTCAAAAAGGGCAGAATTCAGGGACGTCTGCAGAGGTAGAGGTACGAAGTCAGTATGTGTCTCACATGCACTTCGTACAGTCAGAACTTACCCATTGTCCTTCGAAAGGCTCCGCAAACCCGAATTCGCTCACAACAATGTCCGGGATTGACGGGAAGAGGACCTGAGTAATGTGCTTGAGGTAGCGGCGCACGCCGGCAGGTGCAGAGTAGAACCACGACATGGCCGGGTCGGCGGCAGGACCAATGGGGAAGCCATTAGGAGCCACACTTGCTGAACCAGCACAGTCAGGGAAGGACGGGTGTGACCGGTTGCTCGTGCATGACTCCAGCCCGCCATCAACCTCAAAAGCTAAGAAGCTGGAGTAGGGATCGATGGCGTAGAAGTCGCACGATCCTTTGATCATATCCTTTTCCTCTTGTGTGAACTCGGGCAAGAGGTCGCCAAGTGTGTCTTTGAGCGATTGCGGGTAGTCACCGTCAGTCCAGGGTCCACCGAACCAGCCAATGCTAAAGTCAAAGTTCCGCTGGCGTGCAACTTCGTCTTCTGGTTTTGTGCTGTTGGCCTCGTAGTAGTTACCGCTGTTCTTGAAGGTCATGCGGCCGCGTCCTTTGAACTCTTCATGGTACCATTTGGACACCTTTGCGTGCGCTAGCAGTGTATGGTGGCCACAAAGGAAGCGGGCTTCATTGCCGCCTGTAACGCCTGAGCCGTGGTAAACGAAGTCAGTGTATGTCTCACATGCAGTTCGTATGAAGAGACTTACCATTTGGCGCTGGGTAGTATTCACCTGCCGGATACCCGGCGTATTGCCAATTGCAGTATTGGGGCTCATTGATTGTGAACCACTCGTCGACGTAGGCATCATACCGTGTGATGACGAACTTAGCGTAGTTGAAGAAGTCATCCACGACGCGGCGGTCAGTCCAGGCGCCGTACTCATTGAATATGGCGAGTGGAGTATCCCAGTGGAAAAGCGTTACCGCTGGATGAATGCCATTCTCGTGCATGGTCCTGATCACGTCGTCGTAGTGCGCAACGGCCTCCTCATTAACCGGGCCATGTCCAAAGGGGAAAAAGCGCGGCCATGAAAAGCTAGGGCTGAAGGCTTTGACTCCTAGACTTGCTAGTCTGGCGAAATCCTGCTTATACAGATAGTAATGTTGATCAACGATATCGCCAGTGGTATTATCGGCTACATAGTTGGGAACTGCGAGATACAGGTACGAAGTCAGCTTATCATGGTGTCTCACATGCACATCGTGTAGTCAGAACTTACCCCGGTGTGCCAGCAAATCCCAAATACTGGGTCCTCTGCCTTCATCCTTGACCGCACCTTCGATTTGATACGCGGAAGAACTAAAGCCCCATTGAAAGTTCTCGGGGAGCTTCAAGCCCTGTACCTCGGGATATCCGCTTCCTACAAGAGCGTGATAGTATTGAGGATCTGGCTGCGGATATGCCGTTGGCTCTGCTGTTGGTTCAACGGTAGTCGTGATGGGGCCCGTAGCGATAGGGCCCACCATGTCCCAGAGCGAGGCGAGTGCATTGGGTCCGAAATCAGTGCGGGTATAGGCTGTGGGCTGTGCTGAGGCGTTGAAGCTTGAGGTACTGTAGCCTGAAGGCAAGACATAAGAGATAGTAGCTGTCCCGTTGCCCTGAGCAGCAACGGGAGCGGCGAGAACTAGAAGACTGAAGAATGGCAGCAATTGATCCATCTTGAAGAGTTAAGGTGGAATAGAAAGAGTTAAGGTGGAATAGAACGAGACGTTGTACCACCGTGAACGGATCCAGAGATTATTTAAATAAGTACCTATGTACCTCTACTAGATCTATCCGCATCATACCGGGTGGTTTCATTGTGCTCCCCGCTGACGGAAACCTTTGATCGATGGAGATTACCCGGAAATTTTGAGCTCGGCGTGCATGGTACCCCTCAAGAAAGTGCTCAAAATTATCTTCGTGCATCCGATGTAGTGGATTACAAAAGGCTACAAAGGCAATCGTTGGTCAATCCCAAGGAGCTAATGTAAGCTCCAAGCTTCGTTGCGGTACCGAATGCTCGAGCGTGAGGATTTGCACCAAGACTGCAAACGTCATCAACGGACAGGCCAGCGGAACTGGCGGAGTGAATTTCCGTGCCGAATGAGGAATAGATCGAAGCTGCTGCTGATTGATTGGTGGAGGCAAAGCTTCTCGAAGCCATGCACGGAGCTATTGCGGGGAAGCAACAACCATCTTGACTGATTGTTGAGCTTCCAAGAGACGTCGTACGAAGCTGTGTACCCAGATGGTAAGGTGAGCGGCAGAACAGAAGGCATGAACGGTCCGCCGACCGGAGCTTGGTAAGATCGGTAGAAGGAAACACGGGACGAAAGGACGCAATTTGACAATGGAGCGGTGCTGCGGGTGGAAACACAAAGATTCTGGATGCCACAGAAGGGGATTGTGTCGTTTTGCCCAGGCGCACCTTTAGTATGCAATTGTCGGGCTTGACCGAGGAGGTATATTTAGTTCATCGCTACGTAAAAGAGGCCTAGCAGAACGTCACTAGGTTCTCCGGGTATATGGTCTTCGCCGTATTATATGACGAAGGTGGGAAGTCGTCCACAAGGAGCTCATGGTGACTCGTTTTGTTTAAGCCTTGCGCTGCTTCTTCGAGGGCGGCTCTTGCTCTGACTTGCGACCCTTGCCCACCAATGCGCGAATGTCGACTGGTTCTTGTTCGTCGTCGTCATCATCGTCACTAGCATCCATGACATCCAAGTCGGACAGTTCCTCGTCGTCTTCGTCTTCGTCGAATGTGCTCTCTGTGATCCGTTAGCGACGGGATGAAGAGTAGTTAAGCGCATGCCACGTACTGTAGTACTTAATAGCGTTGGGCCACATGTCTTCGGCGAGGATGGTAGCAACCTCATCGCCGCCTGGGAAGACCTCGATCTCCTGGTAGTCTTGCGGGTCTTCTTCGTCCTCAGCCTCATCCTCGTCATCGACCTTCTCCCCTCGCCTGATCTTCTCGAACCTCTCCTTCTCCTCCTTGGCAGCCTGTGCTGACTCCTGTGCGCTGACCCAGCGATAGCCGGAGACGAAAGAGAAGAGACCGAAGAAGCTAACAGAGGCGTCTGTAGCTGTTTCGATCTTCTTGGCCAGGTTCTTATATTCCTTAGTCTTGGCCTCCTCTTTCCTCGCAACGCCGTTGGCAGTGTCGGTTGCCAACTTCTTCCTCATCTCGCCCAGCTTGTATGCCGCATCCGTGAGACCACCGGTAAGGTCCTTGTCCTTCTTCCAGTTGATTTTGACAGGCTCAGAAACTAGACCTTGCCAGTCCTTGGTCTTCCTGAACCAGAACTTCTTCTCGAGCACCTTGTCTTCGAAGTATTCGTTGTCGGTGAAGCCGAACTTGAGCGAGAAGCTGCGCGGGGAGCCATTGGGGTCGTTGAGCTCGATCCGCGACACCTCAAAAGTATCGAGACACTCGGCGAAAACCTTGGAGTCGGTGGGCTGGATGAAGTTGTCGATCTCGGGCGGCGCCTGCTCGAAGACGAGCGACCAGAAGTGCGGGATCTTTGTGACGAAGTCGGCGCGCTTCTTGTAGAGAGGGCCCTGCAGAGCTTCGGCTTGGCGGACTGCGATGGGGTTAGCAATGCGACTCCCTTTCTCAAGACGCGACGTTATAGAAGTGGAATCGCAACTTACTGATCTCCTCTTCCACGTCTTCGAATTCGTGCTCAAGAGCCGCAAGCTCCTCGAAGCGAGCGACGTCTACTTCATTCATTTGGTGATCCATGGGTTTCGAGCAGCTGCCGCCGGGTGAGCAACAATCAGACACTTCAGACATTAGATCTTGGTGGAATGACCAAAGACTTCAGCCGTGAGCATTGTTTATAAAATTTCCGAACTGCTGCAGGGATGTTTGCGCGACGGGGCCCACTTAAAAAGGCGGAGGTGCTCGGCCCCACGCACCCGTGCACACGTTCATCCCGGCTTCTGCACCCTTTTGGCAGCAGAACGCATCTATCTATCCTGCTTCGTCGACACGATAGACCGACGCGAAGTTCTATGGCGCGGAAAATCCATCTACATCGTGATTATTTCAACGCGGCGGGCACGTCAGCAGAAGGCCCTTAGGGTGGCTGGGAGTCACAGAGATGACTTGCTTTCATTCACTCCGCCACAGCTTCGCTCGTGGCAGTGCGCTCTGGTACATTCACGATAGGCAACACCCGATACCCCACAGTGCCATATAAGCTCGCTACTGCCTCTGTTCGACGATTGTAGTCATAGCAATCAGAGTCCAACGAGAACAACACGCAATCCGCTTCTACC